GTTACACATAGCCACGCCAAATAGAGGAGGAACCTCCCACACTTCGTCCCCGCCCAGCGGCGGCTCGTCCGTCATCTGGTCCACCTGACCCTCAACGGGGGCCACGGGCACCACATCCAGAGCATCCGGGGAAACCAAGATAGGGTCAGAGCGAGAATCTCCCACCAGATGACCGCCGTGGGCTAGCCTTCGTTGCCTTAACGCCTCCAGTTAAGCCTGTTCCTTCAAGCGAATGGAGGAACGCCGGTCACCATCCCTGCGGCTCATTGAGAGTGAAAATAGGAAAGGAAAAATGAAAAACACAAACAGGTGTAGAAGGAAAACACAAAGAGCATAGCGAAGGAATAAGGCAAAGGGTCCTATTTATAGCCAGGTCGGGCGTGTCCCATGGAGCCAATCACGGGAGAGGAATAAAAACTGCCATTACTCGATAGAAACGCAGGGATTGGCCAAGAAATCAGGAATATGCGTCAGTGGAAAATCCCATCAATCCTGTCCGGATAAGGCGAGATTCTTGCCATGATCAGAAGAACAAATCTCTCCTAAAAACGGAAAGAGTATAAAGCAAAGGCCAAGTGACAGGCCCAGAAGGTCATGGAAAGGGCGGAGCATCGAGTCGACATACCATGAGCAGCGAGCATGGGCTCGGAAAGATATAGAAAGACCGAGAAGCTAGAAAAAATCATATTTTATTCCAAAGGAGAACCTCGGTACATAGAAAAGACGGGAAAGCTTTATTATAAATCTTAAGGTACTTTCCCTAAATCTTCATCCGCCATGGTAGTCCTTCCACTCGGCAACTGTCCTCGGCTGTTCGACCTTCATAATCAGCCCGATCTACTTCTTGGGAGACGACGGCTCGTCCAGGAAAGCCATATCGTCGGGTGAGCCAGAACTCGCGGGGGACGGACAGACTGAGTCCCAAAAAGCCAGCATTAGAGGCGGGGCCACCGGTGCCTCGTCTCCCGCATACGACTCTAGAAAGCGAGCATAATCGGCGTCCAATAGCAGCTCGGCAGAGTCATGCAGTGGGATCGTAAACGTCATTTGGAAGGCCAGCTGCTCGGGGACGGCCACCTCCACAAAGGTACCGTCCTCGGCGGTAACTCGAGCGGTGGTTTGCTGAGGTGGAGCGGCCGGACGAGGAGGATCGATTCATTCGAGAGCTTGAGGAGGTAGAGTCCGAATAACGCTTACGAGCAGTAGCCTCGCGAGCTCTCTTCCTTTTCTTCTCTGACTTCGACCGCTTAGGTGGCGGAGAATGGGATGGCGATCCAAAATCAATTTTCTTCCCACTAGTAGGAGGGCGACCCATGATGGGAGAAGAGGAGATGGAGTGAGAGGCAAAGAAAGTGGGGGCACTATTTATAGGTTGGGAGCAAATCAAGAATTAAAAGAGAAGAATCAGGTGGATCGCGGATAGTCCGACCATAATCCGGTTATTAAGAAATGAAGATTGAGGAGGGATCAAAGCAATCTGCATAAAGAAGGCGGATATTTTCTATTATTCGAGTAGAAGGAGCTCAATACTGAAAAGTGAGGGACTAGTTGATGGGGTATAGACCCACGGGGCCCACAGCCCAAGAAGAAAGGGAAGGAAAGAAAGATGGGCCCAAGAGAGGGAAAGCCCAAAAGACAAGCGCGGACATGGCAAAGGAGTCAGCACGAGTCTCTAGTCAACACGAGTGGGGGGTCGACCGGACAGATAGCCGTTGGCATTGAAAAGACCTCTTTAAAGCTTGGTCAAACGAGCCATTGGGAAGCCCAGTAACGGCAGCCCAACGACCCTAAAGTAGTTAATGAACCTATTTATGGACTTTTATATATGCATTTGAATAAGGGGATAGCCCAGTATAAAAAGGGGCTCCCCATCAAAGTGTAGGGTAAGCTTGCCAGAAGGTGAGAACCAGAGAGAAACCATAAATATATTAGCAATTTTAGTCGTCTCTTTGTAGACCACTTAACTTTATTTTGAAAGGTGAATCCACCAACCACGATTGTGTTGGACCTCCCTGGGCCCAAAACCCCTAAAACCAACAGGTTTAGATATTTTTAGTTATGTTATACCGTAATATAAGTTTAATTCGTATATTAGATATATTGAAATTTCACATAGAGTTAATTCCACTAGAGGTCCCTTATCTTTGGTGACAATTCCAAATTTAGTCTCAGACTATCGTTTTTGCCATTTAACTTCCCAGACTATTATTTTTTGGACACTTTTAGTCCTGTTCATGACTTTTCCTATTTTTAGAAAGGAAATTTTTGTATTTTCATATTTTTCTTTTGTTATTTTTTCCGGTTTCAACCAATTTAATCGGTTTAGAACTTTAGTTAACATCTCATTTTTAGTAACCATATTTTTCAACTGGTTTTTAGTAAAGTCCTAACTCCTAAACCAATTAAACTAGTTGAAATAAAAAAAAAATAACAAAATAAAAATATAAAGAGACAAAAATGTCCTTACCAAAAAAAAAAAGTCATGAGAAAGACTAAAAGTGTCCAAAAAATAATAGTCTGGAATGTTAAATGGAAAAAACGATAGTGTGAGACTAAATTTGAAATTGACACCAAAGACAAGGGACCTCTAGTGGAATTAACTCTTTCACATATATTAGACTTTTAAGTACAATTTTTTTTTTGAAAATACAAATTATTTATATACACTCCATTCAAATTGATATATTCAAAAATATTGTAAATATTAGCTCAAAAAAAGATTAATCTTATCTAAACTCAATTTTAGGCGAACTTAATTGGTTCAGGTATATTTATAGTTATATTATATATGGATATAGATTTGGTTCATATATCAAAGGTAAAAATCTTACCTCTATTAGACTTAAAAAAATAAAAATTATATTTATTATATTTAAACTAAATATATCCAAAATATTTTAAATATAAAGTCTAACAAATCGTTCAAAATTAAACGTGTGTTAATTTATAAGGTTAGTCTTAAAAATTTAATATTGAAAATATGAGTGTTAGTAAATAATTTTTATTTTTTTAAATAGAAAAGAAAACAAAGAATAAAATAGATAGATTTTGGACCTATCAGAGCGGCATCGTTTTTGGTAGTCACACGGATAGTCGTTTGCGAATGCCATTCTAAATCTTTAAAAAGGCGGGAAAACATATAAAAGGCGGGAAGGAATTGAACTCTAGAACCCCCTCCCTTTTATCTTCATCCTCTCTCTCTCTTCAGAGAGAAAATGGAAGACCCGTTAGCTTCAGCCTCCGAGCGCGGCGAGCCGACGTCCTCGCAGGAGGAGAAATTACGGACCTGCCCTTTCGCCCGGGGGTCGGAGATCTACCCGGAGCTCTCTGACTCGCTTTCGGGATCTCCAACGCCGGCGCAATCGGAGTCCACAGCAATCGAAATGGTGTCGCTTCCCGACAGCGCTTCTGCTGAAAACGAAGAGTTCCAAACTCCTCCCGAGCATGCTTACTCGAGCTCCCAGCCCTATCTCTCCGGATCTGAAGACCTGAGACCGCCGCGAGCAGCCGCTGTGTTCGGCTCCCAATCGGAGTCTCCTGGGGATAAACAGGCCGCGCCGGCGGCGGCGGCGGATGAAGACGGTGCAGAGCACCAGGGAATCGTTGATTTGGGGACGGATTGTGACGATCTAGGGTTTTCGGAGCCCCGCGTAACTATCGCCCAAATTTCCGCCCCCGAGGGTTCTGATAGTGCTAATGGGGTTCAGGAAAATGGGGGTTGTGGGGATGATTTCAACGACTCTGAGCTCTTCAATAGCTCTAAGAGAATTAGGTTTCCGGAGGAGGATAGTACAACCCTGTATGTAGGGGAAACGGAGCCGACTGCAATTGAAATCAATGGCAATGAGAGTGTAAACACTGATGGTATAGATTTAGAGTGTGAAGGAGAACCCAGAGAAAAGGTGAAAAAGATGGATTCTTCAGTGAATGTTGTGGTTGGTTATAGAAGAACAGTTTGTGAAAATGGAAACAGTATCAATGGGTGCAAGGGAATAGAGGATACTAAAGAAGAGCTTGAGGTTGTTAATTCTATTGGCAAGGCTGCAAAGGAAAAAGAGAAATGCAATGATGTTGCAAGTGAAAAGGAGAAACATAATGATTCTGCAAATAGAAAGAAGAAGCGCTGCCGTGTTGTGGGAAAGCGGGAATTGCCATTATCAATAAAGGGTGGAGGAAAAGAGGGAAATCGGGAATTGCCATTATCAGTAAAGGGTGGAGGAAAAGAGGGAAATCGGGAATTGCCATTATCAGTAGAGGGTGGAGGAAAAGAGGAAACTAGGAGGAGGGTAGATGCAAAGAATTTGACACCATTCAAGGACATAATGGTGGGTTTGGAGGCCTTGTTAGGGAAGGCAGATGATGATGGCAGGAAGCCCGAAAGTCTCTTGGAAACCGCCGAGAAATGTGGTTGGGTTTTTCCTAAGCCTAGGTGGTGGCCACCAGAGGGATTTGATGATTAGTCTTACTGTGCTTTAAGAGACTTCAGCAGGGCAATATCAATGGAGTTAGGGAGTTAAGTAAAAAGATTTTGTCTTCTTGACCTTATGCAACCAAGGAGTGATGTTTATATATTATAATGGCTCTAAGGTGATTTAGCTCTTTCTTTGAAAAGGTTCTTGTGAAGACTGAAGGTGCTAGCAAGTTATGTTTTGATCAATTATAAACTCGGATTGTGTTGATTGGATGAAGTTTCCATATGTTAATAGCATCCATGAATCATAGTAACAACCAAGCAAAGGTGAACTTTTGAGGGTTTTCTATTTTTGAGAAGAGATGCAATGTTTATTGAAGGAGCCAACTGTTTCTTATGACCAGTGATTTAAATGGTAAATTCTCTTCAAGAAATGTTCTTTCCACTCTTTTGTTGCCTTGTGAAATATAACTAGTTTAATGCCATCAACATTTTTGCAACAAAAGACAATATTCTGATAAAAACTTTAACCAAAAGATAATTCAGTTTCTGAAAGCTCTCTTTTACCAGTTGCCAAAAACCAAAAACATTGGAAACCATGAAGGTTGTCTAAACTTTTACCTTTAACTGCATGCAAAAAAATTCAAGATATAATCAACTTGGCAGCAGTTCCTCTTCTGGAGTTGCACTTTCAAGCTATATTATACATTTCCTTTTGTCAAACTATACAAAAGAAACATACCATCCATTTCCATCCCTAGAATTCCAAAAACTTTGAGGGGGGAACCATCCATAATTCTACTTGGCAGATAAACTGTAAGTTTTTGCAAAATAGTAGGGCGTGATCACCTAGTTCCACAGAGTTGCTGCTATATATATATATATATATATATATATAGCAAACTATATAGATGAAACTGAAAGCGCTGAGCCCTATTTGAGGAACACAGAGCTACTATTAGTGCTTGCTTGAGGATCAAATTGCGATGGCAGAAGTAGTTCGGCTTGAGGGAAGGAGCTATTGGACGGGACATCTAGGAGTAAGTCCTGATCATCTGAACTTTCCAGCGCAGGGGAACTGCTATAGGGGGGCAATGCAAATAGGCATTTTGGACTAAACAAAGACCCATCATTCTCCTTGTTTTCATCATAGCTGTCCTTACTCGCCACCCTTTTGGGACTCTTCATTATTGTTGTTGCTATGAAATAAAAAAAAAAAAAAATTTGTTAGATGCAAGTCAATCTGAATCAAGAACTTAGAGCAGAAACAGTGCATATAGTAGTAAATCGTAGCTATAGTAGGGATTGGCTACAAGAATTCAATGTCACCTTTATTTTCTTTTCTTTTTTTGTTAGACCACGAGGTGTCCTGAGCAGGCCCTGACTGTAAGAAGTCTTTTTTTTTTTTTTTTTTTTGTTAGACCACGAGGTGTCCTGAGCAGGCCCTAACTGTAAGAAGCACCTTTAAGCCCATACGCACCGGGCCAACCCAATTAAGGGGCAAAGTGTTGGCCAGATTGGTTTTTCCATACGAGAGGGAGTTCGAGCTCCCGACCTCTCTTAAGGGACGAGAGTGCATGGCCACTCACGCCAACCAAGCTGGTTATCATATCTTTCTTAATGACTGGTCTGTCATGTATTTGTTGAATGTGTCAAGACTATCTTAATTCTTAATCAATGTTTATGGACTTCGTCTTGTATTCCCACAACAAGCCAAGGCAAAGTATATTGCTTTAGGAAATGGGGATAATTTTGCTTAGTCCCTGGCTGAGGGTTTGGGACAGTAAACCCGCTCCTATTTTGATTTACACAAGTGCTATATAAATTCTATATATTTTGCTTTCTTCGCTTCTTCAAGTTGGCAAGAAATATGCAACTTTTGAAACCAATTGTCCAATGAATTAGTACATTGTGTAATGTCAAAGAGAATTAACATTGCACACCTGAAATCTTCTGATTCTGTCCATCTAGTGATCTTTTAACATTTATGGAGTGCCCAATGCCAACATCATTAGGCAGTCCCGCAACTCCAAAGCCATTGCTACTGTTTTTACACTTCACATCCTAAAAGACAATAAAATTAGCTTTACGGGCACATCATACTTGAAGAAATGTGGTATTTGTTTAGGAAGTCGGGGGGCATAAGCTAAGTTCAAACCTTGAGAAGATTATATTGTTCCACCCACTTGGACTTTGTCAAATAGCACATTGCAAATCTCTTCAGAGTTCTACAATCTTCTATTTTCACCCCCGACAAGGAGTTATCCAAAACTCCTTCAGCAAGTAGTTTCTGGAAGCAAGATAAGTTCTCCTTGAACTGAGCACTCTCAAACATGCCTCTAAAACTGCAAATGGAGAAACAGGCATTGCTATTAGTCTTGGACTACAACTCGCCCACCACCATATTATGTGTCAACTATACAAACTTCAATTTCACTGTGATGTGCATTGTAACACCTTATGACAACAGGGAGTAAACTTAGGGTCCGTTGGAAACCCGGAAAATGACTTCCATTTTTCGGATTTTCCCGAGTTTGGGTATTCAAGGAAAATAAAGTCAAAGAAAAATATTCATTATGGTCAATAGAAAAAAGGTCCAATTTGGCGGAAAATGTCTTCCTAGATTTTGTCGGAAGACATTTTCTGGATTCTTTATTTCCCCGTATTTATCTTCTCTCTCGTCTCTTTTTAAGCTAATTTTTGAATTATTATTATTTTACCACCATCACACCATTACAATCACCACCACTACCGCCACTTATTATTATTTTATAATAACAAATAATATGTTCATTTTCAGGAAAATGAACCAAACAGAAAAAATGCAATTTCTTAACTTTCAACCAAACAAAAAAAAGATAGTTTTCTGACCTTCAGCCAAAATATTTGAAAATTAAATTATTTTCCAAGAAATGAGTCATTTTTTTAAAATCATTTTCCGAAAAACATTTTCCAGGTTTTCAAACTGACCCTTAGTGATAATACTGGAAATGAGAGACATGTTAAAAGAGTAATTGGTCTGTCATTCAACTTAATATTAACTAGTGTGTCTTAAAAAAATTTGTCTCTTCCTCATTAACTAACTTACAACATTGGGGGATCTGGATACAATGAGATAATACGAACCTATCTGGGGGAGCAGAAGTATCAACAGATGGCAAGCATTTTAGCAGTTGCCGCTGCTCATCAGTTGTCAGTTTACTTGTAAACTCGTCAAAATTGACAATGTCCTGCACGATATTTTGAGAGTGACAAATGTCAAGTTTTGGTTAAAATTCTTTCTAACAATTAAGAAGGTAAGAGAAGACGTTCATCCATAGCATTCATCCACACTTGTTATGAAGTTACAATGCCCAAGCATTTGCATAGAGAATAGGACTTTCTTGCGCAGATAATACGAACCCTCAACTAATTTGTATTAAACTTCAAAAACCCAAAATATGTTCATGTAAAAGGTCTTGAACAGAAAGTAAAACATAATGGATGAAAAGAACATTACAAAGCAGTGATAAATGCAGAAGGATGGGATTGTTGGAATCTATGGTACAATGTTTAGCTGTTTTTGCGTGGAAACAACAGCAACTGCAACTTACCTTCAGGTCTACGTAACACAAGGGTGAATTATGATGCCCCAGCATTTGCAATTTTTCAAGTCGATCCTTATCCCTGAAACAAGAATCAAATTAATTGTCTGATGAACAATATGCTAAAAATGAATCAAGAAAACCTACACTCCTACAGAAATGGGGATTGGGAAATACAAGTATCCAATACCCGTTTAAGAAAAGAAATCAAGAATTTCATTTCTTGTAATGATTTGGAGCAGCAGGTGCCCTGAGCAAGCCCTAACTGTAGGAGGCACCTTACCATACTAAGACTAATCCCCGTTCACACCAGGCCAGCCCAAAAGCCCTAACTGTAGGAGGCACCTTACCATACTAAGACTAATCCCCGTTCACACCAGGCCAGCCCAATTAAGGGACACAAATTGTTGGCTAGATTGATTTTTCCATATGAGAGGGGATTCGAACTCCTGACCTCTCTTAAGGGACAAAAGTGCACAGCCACTCACGCCAACCAAGCTGGTTACAGAATGCTTCTATTTATTAACAAAGAAAGTACCTTTTCACCAACTCTTGGTCGATTCCATGTCCAGTGGGCTTCTTGATGGTCTCAGTTCCCACAGAGGGTGAATTGAAGACCTTATTATGAATATGTACAGAAGGGGTAGGCCATGGGGAATAAGCCTCATTCACAGGGTTTTGCTTGTTATCGACTGAAAGAGAGCTAGCTTCTGATTCTTCTTCTCTACCGATTGAGCTTGGATGCCGAATGAGCATACTTCCATGTCCTATCTCAACGGAGACCATAGGCTTATCACTCTCGAAAAGCAAATCCTCTTCAGAAGATCCTGAGAAATACGAACTTTGTTGTTCATGTAATATGGTACATAAATCTTTGGTAAGCTTCTCAACTGGAGATGGCTTTGGACGACCAACACACGTTCTCTTCTTTGAAGGCACCATTGTATCCCATATATTAGGTTGGGCTGGACCTGAAGATAAAACTACTATGTAATCATTTAATGGATTCCTTAATTCACCGGTTAAAACAAGTCAAAGACTCACCGGTTAAATCACTTAATTCGGTGCCAGCAAACTGTGCACAGCTCTCTGAGTTCGAGACAGCAGAGCCAGAACTCGATCTATTGCTCGTGTCTTCATCTAAGCCCTTCGATAAAACCTGACTATAATCTGTAGGAACTCCGACCTCGGGATAGTCATAAATATGTTTCCTTTTAAGAACCTTTGCCTCTTTGATTCTAATAGGTGTGGTTTTGACCTTGGAACCCCTGTAGTCCTCAAAATCATCCGGTTCTGCCCTGGCATGCAAAGGAGTATAGTTTGCCAAGGTTCCTTTCGTTCTCCATCGTGATCCACATGCATTGCAAAGAACTGGCTTTTCTGGCGGCCCGTTACGCCAAAGTGGGGTGTCTGTACATAAATTGATTGTCAGAGAAAAAGTAAATATTGTGATATTGAAAGAGAAGGGGATTTGATTGCCAAAAATTGAGTTGAATCTTGAATCTTGAAGATACTGAAGGCAACGAAAACGCATAAACCAGAAACCCATTTTAAGTTCATTTATCAGAAAGATCCCAAACACCATTTAGAAAAAGCATTGCCCACCATTGCACATTCTAGTCCTGAAAAAACTGGGCTTTAGAATACTATGATTACTAGATTTAGCAAGAAATCAGTATTGCAAAATTCGATGTCAGAGATTGTACATTTTGCCAACAAGGAATTCAGAAAACTATGAAGAGTAGGAAGCAATGATCAAATACATTCAGAAACATTTATTGGTTCTCACTAGTGCCCCAATATTCAGACTCAAAAACAGATTAGTGTCAAATGGAGAAGACAAGAAGATTCAGAACTGAAAATATTCATAAAACAATTTCAAACTAGAGCCAGTATGAAATTCAGGTAATAGGGGAAGTTCATAGTTTTATAATACCCCTAAAGTACAATCAAAACCACCTCAAAAACACTGAATAATATCAATAAAAACACATATTAGTCATTATTGTTCATTGTCCAGGAAATCTCCACCCTTAGGAGCAAACCAGAATATGGGTATCCGGCTCCATAGTTCATAACCAATCTAAGCATAGAAAACCATTTAGAGAAAATTAGAACAGCCCCAGAAGGGTAAAACCCAAAAAGACTCAATCTTTGCTGAATAATTCAAATATTACAAAGAAAAGAAAGAAAAAATAAATAAATTAAACTCACTTGTAACACCACAGTGATAGCAAGGTCCTTGCTTTCCCATATCTGTAAATTTCCCTTTCTCCCCAAATGTCAGAAAACAAAATTTAGAGGAAAGGAGAGAAAATTTTCTGTCTTTGAAGACAATGACTTTTTTCCAGAAAAAATGAAAAAAAAAAAAAAAAAAAACTTTTTTATATCTATATACCAATTTGATTTTATTTTTAAAGCTCTTTATTACAACAAATTTGGATTAGTGGGTATGAAGCCCTTTTTCTGCAATAGACTCAAGAAACAGATTCTGCAGAAAAGACCAAAAACCCAAGAGACCCATCTTAAAGTCCCACAGAAACCACTGAAAAACAGCAAAACGGAAACATAGAAATCAGCCTCATATATGAAAAGGCAAGAAAAGATTGAGATTTGGGGTGCTTCAGTTTTAGCTGAGAGTCATTGTGAAATTCAATGGGCAAAAGAAAAAGACTATTGGAGGAATCTATTTAATAATACGGAGTAATATAAATGTAAGGGAAAGTGAGGTGAAATGGGGAAGAGAGAAGAAGAAGCAAAGGGAGAGAGGGTCTTGCTGTATTATACTTTTCTTTTACTTTCTTTCTTCATTTCATTTCTCTTTTTCTTTCTCATTTTCATTTGAAGGACAAAAAAAAAAATAGATATAGAAAATATAATAATTAACTTGTACAAATAAATCAAATATCCTTCATGAAAATAAAAGTAACTAACTTTCTAATTTATTAACTTGCTTAAATATGAAGTTATGACTTTAAACTCATATATATAAAGCAATAGTCACAAAATAGATGTAAAATGATGTAAAATCAGGACGAAATTCAGCTAAACTAATCACATGACTTGATTAAAAGTGTAGTATGTAAAAATAAATAAATACTCTGTAAAAGGATTTTTATCTTTTTTTATCTGACATAGAATTTTATAGGTCAAAATACAATAGGATTCCGCACATCAAGACTAATCATATTCGTGTCGAGTACCATTTTAAAAGTGTCAAAGTACTTTCTGATAAATTTTAAATGTGCCAAAAAGACCTTGTGGTCAAATGACATGATTGTGATTATTGCAAATGGGAGATCACAGGTTTGAACACGAATCCCAGTAGAAATTGACTCTTTGTATTTTAACAAATACTACATTGTAATAATTATTTTTAAAATAAAAGTGTTCTCAAGACTTGAACTTTCATCTTATTTTATTATAATAGAATACCTTTTTAATTTAGAAAAAAAAAAAAAACAGAGTATTGGGGAAATTTTATATGGGAGTATGTTTTTTCTTTTGTTTGTAACTTGGATGGTATTAAAATGAACAATGAAAATTGAGGGACTTAGTTATAATTCAAGAAATAGTAAAGGTTAAGATGTTACTTTCCCGAACTTCAGGGGTCCAAGTGGATTTATGGCTAAAATATTTGCAATTTTAACTTGTTTCAGGGTTCCTTTTTATTTCATCCACAAATATATATACTCCGTAATTATTATTAAATAACTTTTTATTTTTTTTTTTTTGAAAGGATTTTTTTTTGAGAAGATTTGAAAGGATTTTATTATTTATTTTTAAAATGTAAAAGAAAAAAAAAAGGACTACGAGGAGTTGAAGAATATTATTGCGCATATCTGTTGAGTGTTGACTGTAGACTTTCTAACATCTTCCTTCAACCACCATAACAGTTACAATAATTACTTGTGTTTACTTTTATGGATTCGATTTGATAAAATTTAATTAAAACTTGGAAAGAGAAGGAGTGATGATAAATAACAAAAAAAAAAAAAAAAATCTTGAAAACAATGTGATTTGTAATATATTCTTTAATAAATTATATGCATAAAAATTAAAATTTTTATCAAATAAATTCTTCAAACCTAATAATCACGGGAAAACATTACTTTTTTTTTTTTTTTTTTTTTGAGTACTACTGCCTCTGCTACAATGCAGTTCCACTAAGGCTCAAACCCACAACCTCCGATATGAGAGAGCAACTTGGTGCTACTAACCCACAAGGTCCTTGACAATTACTTTAGTTTTTTGGAATAAGGGTCAAATAGGCCATTGAACTGCACACAATAATGCAATTAGGCCACTGAACAAAAAAAAACAACAATTAGGCCACTAAACTAAGCAATTTCATTCAATTATTCTAATTTACAGGTTTTGTAGGTTACTAACAGGTCACCCAAACAATTTAAAATATTTTTTAAAAAATTATTATTTAAAAATAATAAATTAAAAAAGCAAAAATAAAAAACTCGTCTCTGCCGGAGACGAAGAGTTTCTTCGTCTCCGGCTATGGAGACGAAGAAACTTTCTTCATCCATGGCCGGAGACAAGAAATTCGTCTCCGGCGGAGATGGTTAATGTTTTTTTTTTTTTTTTTTAAATTTTAATTTATTATTTTTAAATAATAATTTTTTTAAAAATATTTTAAATTATTTGGGTGACCTGTTAGTAACCTACAAAACCTGTAAATTAAAATAATTGAATGAAATTGCTTAGTTTAGTGGCCTAATTGTTGTTTTTTTTTTAGTTCAGTGGCCTAATTACATTATTGTGTGCAGTTCGATGACCTATTTGACCCTTATTCATAGTTTTTTTTTTTTAAGGAAATTACTTTAGTTTTTTTTTTTTTTTTTTGAAAGGAAAGAAATTACTTTAGTTAATTAGTCTAAAAAGTAACAATAATACAAATTAATTTTTACCAACAAATTTGTAGAAAAAAAAGTCTATAAATAATAAAATATATAGAATCAATCCTATCATTTAGGTTCAGTCGCCCGGGATAGTGAAAGAAAAATGTTTATTAACATGCGAAGTTAATGTATATGAAGCACAATTAATTCGCCACCTCTAAAAAATGCATGTCTTCAATTCACACTTTGTCTTTTCTAGTTTTCATCGTAATATTTCTTATAATATATATTGCATTTGTTGTTCAAAAGGTTATGATGATTAATTGAAAAGAATTTCAAAGAATAACATTGAGGTCATGGGTTTGAATTATATAAAATAAATAAATTTTGAAACTTTATTTAAAGAAAAAAGAATCATCTTGAACTAGTCTAGAAGTAGGAGACCCTTTCAACAATTAAGCATTGGGTAAAGACCTAGCCCGCCTTTGTTCACGAAAGTAAAATTTAAATACAAGACATTTTTCTCATTATAATAATATATGATTTTTAAAAGTTACATGAATCGGATGACTCTTCCTTTTTAAATTTAAAGATTTCTACTTTGAAGACGTCGGAACTACTGAACATTATCGGACAAAATTTGTTTAGTCTTCTCATTTTGTCTTTATACCTCTCTTGCAATTAAAAACAATGTTAACTCCATTATTTATCCATTTAATTTTGTGTTGAAAAAGTTGAGAAATGTGATGACATTATGTTGATATATAATTTCTTTCAGTTAACATTAAGCTAGGTGCATTCTTACATCACAGTCAAGTTTATCACCGTTGATCAAACTCGAAGAGATCTTGCTGTGGGCCCCACGAGAACGTGGCATGCAATGGGTTCAGATTATGGCAACCAACAACTCCTTAATCCCTATTTCTTGGTCAAACAAAAGGAACCGGGTTACTGCCACTTTTGTACCCTATCATGACCATAAATTATTAAATTAAGAGAAAATGATGTTTTTTTATTCCTAAATTATACTCCCTCTGTCCCATTTTGCATGTCTTACTTTCCTTTTTAGTTTGTCCTAAAATGTTGTCCTCTTTCCAAAATTGAACATCATCATCATTCTACTTTTTCCCAAATTACCCTTATGACTTTTGCTTTTATTTCCAAAAGTAAAAAAGTGAAGGGCATAATTGGAAAATACATAACATTTACTTTAATTCTTTAAAAAGCGTGCAAAAAGCAAATGAGACAACCAATTTGGGACGGAGGGAGTATATATTTATAACCTTTTTCTTTCTGAATTATTTATGTATTTACATTAACTTCCCCAATTATTTTAAGTGTAACATTTCTCCATCCTTTTATGTTAAATGAGAATTTTTACTTTTAAAAATAAGTATTTGTACTGTGGCGTACATTCCAACTGCAATGGTCGTCGTAGACGTCCAATTCCCGCTGCCAGTTGCTCCCCCTCAATCTCTGGAAGCACCTGAATCTGCATAGTTACTACCTGGCAGTGCAAAATGCTTCGTCAACGCTGACTTTCAAAGACCCCAACATTCAGTGACGTATGGCTTCATTGTACGTGGTTTGGATGATTCGTTCGCTGCAGCTGTAAATGATCCGCTACACTGCCCTCATGACCCATTATTAGCTGAAGCCATGATGGTTCGTGATGCTCTCTCATGGCTAAAGGAGCACGGTTACTCAAATGTTGAAGTATCTCTCGGATTGCTCGGTCTTCTGTTCTAGTCTTGTTAATGCACACTTGTTTCGTTCTTATGTCGGTTTAGTTTTAATTTCATGTCGTCAGATTATTAGTAGGGATGTGCCAATCGAGCGGCTCATGCATTAGCTAAACATGTAAGTGCTATTTCTGCACGGTCTGTCTGATGGGATGCTACACCTCCGTTCTTGGATATTTTGTCGTTTTAATACAATCCGAATCATTTGACTTTCAAAAAAAAAAGTATTTCATTTATTTTTCTCCCTCAACAAATTATTTATTATATTGAGAATCACAATAAATCAATATCGTATTTTCCCTTAAATTAACCTTTTAATTATAAGAGTAATTTAATATTGTTTTTAATTATAAGAGTAAATCAATATCATATTAATTATGCATTAAATTAGCGATTTGATGATTTCATATGTGACGGATTTTATTAAACTATTACACGGATATTTAATTTGTTCTATATTTCCACGCCACCTTCATTTTTATTTTTTGATATCAACCATCAAAATATTTATAAATTAAAAAAAAAAAAAAACGAATGTAATAACATAAGGGGGCAAAATTACTAATGTGACTATTTTTACTAATTTTAAGTATCAAAAGTAGGAATAGACCAACTAAGTCGAGTTGTTTATATCCACCACCTAAACACCTTTAAAAGAGTTATCCCATATAAGAATTGATCAAAATTTTATTTAATTAGTCGCATACCAATGCAACATATAAAAATTTACATGTCTACATGTAAAAAATTAAAATAACATGAACAAGATATATGATAGGATAATCAAATATAATTTCCTGAATATATTCAAAATGAAAATACTATTGGACTCTTAATTGTTACTCCCAACTTTTTTCTCATTCAAATTCTTGATGTAGGCTCCTCTATTAATTAAATGAGCCTGCTCCTTTATAATATACTTTTTTTTTTTTTTTTTTTCATTAGGGGTGTTTTGGAGAGATTTTTCTTTCCCCAAAACAGCAACAACAAACGTTGTAAAATGCAACGTTTGCAAAATCAGCGGTTTCGAACAAACCGTTGTTCCAACTGTTGTAGTATTGACAAATTTCACTTTTAGTCATTGACTATTGTACTATTGTCACATTATATATATATATATATATATATATATATATATATATATATATATATATATATATATATTTTTTTTTTTTTTTTT